TGTGTGTGCATATGTGTGTATTTATATATATATATATATATATATATATATATATATATATATATATATATATATATATATATATATATATATATATAAATGTATATAACCAAATATAAAAGATACAAGAGTGTGCAATTCTAAAAATTCATATATAAATTAATTTTATAAAAATACCTTCTTAATGCATGTTCTCCTCTAAATCTTGGGCTCAGAGGTCCTTTTTCAAAAGGATAGTTTATTGTCGCTGGTTCTCTAAATATATGAGATACAGCAATCCCTACTCCTCGCATAATTTCAAGCATAAACATATGTGTGCTTGCAGTTTCTACAATGTCAGACCAGGTTTTATCCTTTTCTTCATTTACGTAATAATATTTATTACGATTTATACATGTAGTAATCCCACTTGGAATAATTCTTACAACTTTTGGAGCTAAAACATTTATAATTCCATAAACAGTTGGTATCTTATATAAAACATGAATGATTTAATATATTAATAATCCTTTATATAAATCCTGTAAAAAATATATACAATTATATATATATATATATATATATATATATATAACTGAAATAAAAAAATGATTACAAAAAATAAGATATATTGAGCTAATTTATTAAATTTATTAAAGTACATAATTTATGCTAGAATATATCATATTTATATCAATAATAATAAACATAAATATAAGTGCAAAGCAAGTATGAGAATAACTAAATGCAAAAGTAAAACTAAGAAAAAAATATTTATGGAAAATGTATTATCTTAGAATTACACTCTAATACTCTCTGCTAATGTTGCATATCTGTGTGTAACAAATAACAAGGACAAACTAATGTTTCCAGCATTAACAGCAATGTATCAGAACACTTTATACTAATAGAACTCTTAACTTTGGTATACGATTTTTAACAAAATAATCTAGTGCACATATAATAAAGATTGCTTTTTAAACAGATATTTTAATATGAGATAACATGCAATTTCTAATAAGGTTATATTTTATCCAAAAATTATAGTTAACTTTATAAGAAAATATGCTAAATAAACCGAATCATACCGATTTTACCAACTTGCGTGATCAATTGTAAGGAACCCATCATTCCTGGATTTAAATTTTTTAACACAACATTAATGATAGCTGATAATAGTCTGAGCTATATCATGTCCCTTTTCTTTACAAAAGTTCTACCCACGAACTAAAAAATAGGAGAACGGTAGAGAGGCAAACTCTGTCACGTGACACCTTTCTTCTAATTGGTTGCGGGTATCAAGGCTTCTTGTGCTCATGAGCTGCGTTCTTTTATTCGCAACAGATGTCATGTTATTCTTCGATTTTACCAAATGTTAAACAAGAATAGAATAACATCGGCTGCAGCTGTTGCGAATAAAAGAACACAGCCATGATGGTACTGGTATTCATTGGATGTTTACGATAACGAGAGAAAAGCGAGTGAGATCTGGATCCGAGAGAATAGTATGATCTCCCATCTATAACTGTAATATTCTATGGTCTGCTCTTGCAGTCTCATGAACACGGGAGCAAATCAGGAACTCGATTCTTGACGATATGCGAGTAAGAAGTCCCGGCCTAACCGCCGTCACGACAAGACGTGTTCGAACAAGTTCGGACCTTGTGATTTTTTTGGATCGTGTCTTGAAAATTTCCAAGACTTTGCTCTCGAATTATATCATTAATCGGAAACTGGCGTTGGGGCATTACTCTTAGAGAGGCCTGTAGCCAAATATTGAAGGAAGGAAGGAAGGATATGCGAGTAAGGGCTATCGCACACAAATTGACATAACTGCATATGCATAGCATAAGACCATATGTACCAATGAGCATCGAGTATTAAGTCGCCATATTGGTGTTCGATGCTTAATATTCGATACTCATTGGTCCATACGATCTTATGCTATGCATATGCAGTTATGTCAATTTGTGTGCGATAGCCCTAAGATACGCATGCGAAACTAGTTTAGTTCACGTTACGTATACTGTAGATTTTCGCATGCGTATTTCATTCGTACATCGTCAAGCATCGGCCCCAGGAATTCGTCTCACAAACAACAAAGGATAATGTATCATACTTAAAGTGTATTAATATTTTATCTTCTTTATTTAAAGAATTATATAACATATTATTTCAGTTTATTAATTTGAGATTTTCAAACTCTTCTTAAACAAGGACTGAACCTGTATTAATAGTTATTACTTGAAACTTGTCTCACGTCAGATGATCAGATTGCAATTATCAAAGGTTGCAATTATCAAAGAGAGCTGGATTAATTTATTTTAATTGAACTGTATGAAATACATGACATATTATATATAATCTTGATTCAGCTGAAAAACTCACATCTAAGTATAAATTTAAGATAAAATATTAATACACTTTATGGCTGCGTTCCGAAATTCACTTCCAGTGCTGAAATTCTGTAGTATACTTGACATAAACTATACATTTTCAGTACTGGCAGTACATTTCGGAACGCAGCTTAAGTATGATACATTACCCTTTGTTGTTCCTGAGACGAACTTCTGATATGCTCCTGTGTTCATGAGACTGCAAAAGCAGGAGCAAGAACAGACCATAAAATATTACAGTTATAGATGGGAGATTATACTATTTTGTTGGATCCAGATCTCACTTGCTCTACTCTCGTTATCGTAAGCACCCATAGTTTAATGACGTGCACGAAACAGGCGGCATTCCATGGATGCGTTCAGATTCCTCATTCGAGTGCAGTCTATTACTAGAAACACTACAGTATATGTTACATATACTATAGCACTTTTAGTATAAAGGTGCAAATTCATGTAGCGAATTAATCGCTGCGATTGAAGGTTACGTGGTCATTCGCTGTTCGCTAACGAGTAATCGCTGTTCGCTGAAATTTTTTAGCTTTTAGCGAATATTCGCTAAGATAACCATTGTTGACATCTTAACAACATCTATAGGTTCTCTAATGTAATAATGCTTAAATATGTCTGCTTCAACTGTGAATATTAAATTTTCAAATTGACTTGCAGACATGCATATATAATTATAAAATCTTAAGTTTTCTAGAAGAAGTTTAGATAGCACAGCATGAAAAAATCCATGCTCTTTTCTATCTTGAAAAATAGGTGTTATCCAATGTTTCTTTCTCGAATATCTTCTTTTCTTATGTAAAAATATAGCCATAATTGCAGCTGCTTTCCTTTTTCGGATATTTTCATAATAATTCATTATTTGCATATAATTTAATAATGTTTGGTTATACCAAGTAATCAAATGAATAATTAAATTTTCCTCCATGTGTTAACACACAACATATGACGCTCATAAACTATTCGCGGCGAATTATTCGCTACTCGCTACAAATCATTCGCAGCGAACAATCTACATGAAAAGGCTACATGAAAAGGCACCCTTAGATTGCAGCTGTGTAATGGCTCCTGCACACAGGACGTGATAATGCTTGCCGCGCGGCAGAAGTTCGCGCGACAGCCAATCAATATGCTGCTTTCCGTAATAACCTTCTAGCTCTTACGGAAAAGCAACATATTGATTGGCTGGGGCGCGGACTTCTGCTGCGCGACAAGCATTACCGCGTCCTGTGTGCAGGAGCCATAAGGAATCTGAACCTATGGATGCGTTCAGGGCTGCGTTCAAAAACACTGAAAGTCCACGACGGAAAGTGGCTATGGTGGATGGGCTTGGTGGGGTTAGTGGAGTTGGTATCGAGAGGAGTTTTCGAACA